AAATAATTAATTTTATTTTATTTTATTGATTATGAATATTCATGATACAAAGCTGATTGTCACCCCTCCTGCCCACGATGTGAGGGCCAGATTCATACTGGCGACATGCCCATTACCACAAATTGCATTTGTTCCCTGTGTCCCCCACCCAATTATCCCCAACCTCCCTCCCCCTCCCTTTTCCCCCCAGCTGCACTTTGTAGCCCAGGGAATGTTCTCTCCCTCTGCAAGTCCGAGGCACCACTGTGGTCTTTCTTTCCTTCCTTCACATGTGATATTTATCCCTCTGTGCTTTGCTTATTTCATTCAACATAAGTCTCTCCAGGCTCATCCATGTTGTTGCAAATGGGAGAGCAACTGTTTTTTAATGAATACATCAAGTTAGTCCATTTTACAGATTTGGGAAGTAAGATTTGGAGAGAGACTTTGATGGACATGTTCAGACATGAAACTGATGGGAGTTTTGTATCTTAGTTTTGGATGGGCCAAGGCCAGCTTGCCTCTGTTACCATCATTTTCTGTATCATATCCTTGTTTCTGAGGTTCTGCTCAGGGCAGTGTGCCTTTGTCACTTGAACACTTTGGGGAACTGCAAGGTCAGCAGGGACCACTGTACCCATTTCACAGATGGGCCAGCTGAGGCTCCCCCGCCTGGGCCCTGTGCCTCTAGGCCCAGTTGGGGTGGACAAGAGCAAAGCAAGAATGGCAAGGGGCTCAGGGGAGCTTGGATCAGAGCTCTCTGGCTCTGACTCTTCCCAGCTCAGTGCCCTCATGTGGGCAGGGGGAACACAAGACCTGTGGCCGGGTCAGGATGAGATGGACAATGCTTACGAATAAGGCTTCACCAGCAGAACAGCGTTGGGTATGTGTGCGGTAGATTTTCTGTAGGGACTCAAGTAGAATATTTCTCTGTTGGCCCAGGAGAAATTTGAGATTATGAACATGAACATGAAGTTGGGGACAACCCTGACGATCAAGGGCAAGATCGCTGATGGTGCTAATGGATAAGTGAGGTCGGGGGCAGGGGGATGTCCACAGGCTTGGAACAGGAAGGGAAGGTGGCGGCAGGCAGGGCAGCCCTGTGCAGTGGCCAATGAGCGTGACTTCAGGACAAGGGGGCCTTTTTTGTGTCCCTACTCCTGCTCACACCCCTCCCTCCCTCACCCCTGCTGGCTCTCCTTCTGTTAGGATCGGTTTTCCTATCTGAGGCTAGGTTTGGGGGCCTTCAGAATTTCAGACCTGATGCTATATGCTCTGTGCTTTGGTCCTGACAGCCACTGAAGGGGCAGGTGGAGAAGCCCCTGGAGCTCTGTCTGGCCCCCTGTGGGTCAGATGTCTCTACCAAAAGTCCCAAACCACCCTCTTTAGCAGGCCAAATGGCCACATGCGGGCCTTTCATGTACATTAAACCAGGGGCAGCCACCAGGGGGCACAAGTGGTCTGGCCAGAGGCATTATGCACCTCCCTGAGTCACTGCTCAGCACTGGGCTCTCGTGTGTGCAAGACAATTTCCGCGTATCTTAGGACTGATCTCTAGCCGCTTTGGATTGGGTATGAGGTGGGAAGACACATGGGTAAGAGACAAGAGCAAAGTGACTCCTTTCTCCTATTTGGGTCCCTGAAGTTTGCAGAAATGTGGGTCTGAAATCCCTGAATGAAGGCACCTCATGACCCAGAATGTCCCACTCTCAGGGGCCATGAAGGTCAACCGTAAGAGACAAGAGCAAAGTGACTCCTTTCTCCTATTTGGGTCCCTGAAGTTTGCAGAAATGTGGGATACCCTGGGTCTGAAACCCCTGAATGAAGGCACCTCATGACCCAGAATGTCCCACTCTCAGGGGCCATGAAGGTCAACCCAGGCTCCTGTAGTGATCCTGCCAAGAAGTCACACAACCCTCTAACTGCATACCTCTAGTGACAGGGAGCTCACCACCTTAGACTGCCTGCTGTTTATGGCCAAACTAATAGGATTTCAGATGTCTAAGTGTAGCAATTCCCGCTCCCAGGAGAGCTACCCCGAATTCCTGAAACTGACACTATTAGTTTCTCATCCTGTCAACAGCCTTGGTCCTTGCTCCAAATGGAATGTGCTATTTCAGTGCCAAGTCTGACTGGGTTGTTACTCCCTTTTTTAAGGCACACATCTCAATTAACAGAACCTTTCTTCAGTAATTCTTCCTGCTTGTGGTCAACCCAGACCGTCCAATCCCAGCTGTTTTACCCAGGGCTAGCCCTAACCATCACCTTTTACCCATTTCCCTGCAGCTTTGCAATTAATTTGCGCCAGGCGACAGATATGCTGGACTTGCATTTCAATCCACGCTTCAACAAATCCACCATCTTCTGCAACTCGTGAGATAGCAGCAAGTGGGGACAAGAGCAACGGAAATCACCTGTGCTGATATCAAGGGATATCGAGGAGAGGACCCAGGCGGTAGAGCACCCTGGCCTGGACACATGTGCCCATTCTTTGAACTACCAGGTACTGCCCTGGCCCATTCCCAGGGTACCTCCTGCCTCCTTAACAACCTCCCTCCCACTGCAGTTCACCGTGAACTTTGAGAGCGACGGATTCAAGGTGAAGCTGCCAGATGGGCACCAGTTGACCTTTCCCAACAGACTGGGCCACAGCCAGCTGAGCTACCTGAGTGTGCAGGGCGGGTTCAACATCTCCTTCAAGCTCGACTGAGTGGGCAGCACCTCGTCAGAATGAGACTCCCAGCCTGGCTTCCCTATCCTGAACCTTCTTCTGAGTCACACCAGGATCAGCAGCCCTTTGGGCCTGGATCTGGCCCCTCACTCCCTACCCTGAGTCCAAGGGCAAACAAAAGAATCCACTTTCATCAAGTCTTTCTGTGGCAGGAACTGTGGCGAGTGCTTTCCGTGCATTTTAATGTTCCGGGCACCCTCATGACAGGAGGAAACTGAGGCACAAGGACATAGGACTGTCAAAGTGGGTAGGTAGGCTGGGATATGCTCCCAAACAGCTCTAAGCACTTGCTCCTGTCTACCTGCCTGTTGTCACCAGAGCAAATGCCAAGCTGCCCCATGGGATTATGGGGCAGACACTGATTCCAGACACCTGGGCCAGGGGCTATTCCCGGAACTGAAGATAAGGGCTCCCACCTGGCCCTCTTATCTCAGCGGCATTCCAGCCTGGTTACTCATTACCTGCCTTGGTCAGTGCTGTCCCCTCCCCTCACTGGGGGACTTGAGGGGAGTCCTTGGCTTTCCAAGCTCCCTGGAGGGAGGGCATTTAAGCAGGTGGAGCTGATTCTGTTCTCCCAGGTCCCCAAGCATCTTGCAGACGCCTTTTGTCAAAAAAGGCTTTTTTTAATCAGGCCCAAGGCAGGTCTGGGGTACACAAGAAGGTGAGATTCCTCCCCTGTGAGGTCACACCTGACCTTTCTCCAAGGCTTCTGGGACAAGTTGGAGACTGGGGTGGGAACATTAGGGAAGCAGCCTGGGATGGAGCTGAGGGACGCAGCAGGGCCCTCTGGGTGCAGCTCTGGGGTGAGCTGGGGGCAGGCGGTCCCTTTGGGATACGAGACAATGGCCCTGTGTGGTACACTCCCCGGCTCCTACCCAACAAATACAGCTTCCTCTGGCACAAAGGCCACACTGTGAGGCTAGGCCCTCCAGCCGGTGGGGGTGGCACGTGGTAGGGGCTAAGGGATGACTAGTGGGTCCAGAGTGGCAGTGGGGGAAGGTGAGTAAGCCCAGCAGGGCCACTGGGAACACTCAGGTCCCAGAACAAGCTTGATCTTCCCTGTCCTACCTCCCATGTCTGTCCTGCAGAGATGGAGAGGGTTTGGGGATAACTTGAGTTCTCCCCTCTGTGGTCTGGGAGGACCCAGCTCTGTTGGGTGAGGGGCTGGCTCTGCACCTGGGCTCTTCATAAGAGGTGCCCTGAGGCTGGACAAGGTTGTGAGCCCATGCCCCGGCCACTCACACCTTGACTTCATCATCCTCAGCATCAGCAAACTCGAAGGTGCTTGCTTGCACTGTGCTGGGCACGGGGGCCCTGCTGCCTACCTGGGGTGCCCCCCACTCTTCATCCAGGCTCTCCAAGGAGGCCCGAGCCTGGGGCAGCACCCCCACCAGCTCCTGCTGAGCATCCATCTCAGTACAGTGGCGGCTGCCATCCCAGCCTGTTCCCCAGTGCCTGCCGAGGGCCATGTCAGTGGGTACACGGGGACCCCCTCCCACTGGGCTGGCCCTCACCTCAGCCATTGGGCTCAACCCAGCAGTTACCCCATTGGGGTAGTGTCCACGGGATGGGGGGCTTGTGGCAGGACATGGGGAGTTTGCAGCGGGGGCTGGAGAATTTGCGGTAGTGGTTGAAGGGTTTGTGGCAGGAGCTGGGGAATTTGTGGCAGTGGCTGAAGGGTTTGCAAAAGGGACAGGGGTCTCAGGTGCAGGGGCGTCTGAGAGGCTCATGACCCCTAGCAGCTCACTGAGGAGAGAGGGCCCAAGGTCAAGGTCAAGGCGGAAAGACAAGAGAGAGTCCGAGCGGCGAAGCTCGGGCTCAGAGGGGAAGGAATTATCGTGGTCTCGGTCATGAGGCTTTTCCTGGTGGGGCAGGCGGGAGATGGTGCAGAACCCGGAGTCCAGGCCTAGAAGAGAAACAGGGAGTGGGGTCAGAGCTGGGGTCAATAACAAGGAATTGGGGAGGGGAGTGCCAGGACCAACTCTGGTTTGCTGGGTGGCTTCTGGCAAGTCACTCCCCTCTCTAGCTTGTTTCCTCCTCTTTCCAATATAGTGAACCCCATGGTCTCTCCTATGATCTTCCCGCCAATCCTGAAAGCAGAAAACTGTCATAATTCTCATTCCCGTTTTGCAGATGAAGAAACTGAGGCTCAGATTGGGATGAGGAGAATGGACTTGCCCAGGCCACAGAGTCTGATGGGGTGGAGCCAAGCCTGGAGCTCAAATGTACCGACTCTCAGTCCCAACTGTGAACTTGGACATGGCCCCTGGTTCCCTGGTATAGAAATCAGACTCAAGGGACAGGCACATGCCCTCTGAAAGTCACCTGGTCCAGCCCCTGCCTCGAGGACTACCAGGCTTGGGACATAATGAGGTTACTGTGGATTAGTCCTCAAGGGGGTTCTGAGCAGTCACTGCCCCAGGAGCATTAAGGAAGCCTCCAGTGGTAAGGGCAAAGCTGCAGGGCAGGGAATGGCCACTAGGTGGCGGCAGGGGCCCATGGTTCCCAGGTGAGCGGTTCCAGCAGAGCCAAGGTGGCACTTCCGGCAGGGCAGGAAGGGCCTCTGGCTTGAGTACACGTGAGTGGTTTCCCAAATTTGTCAAGTTATAGCAACCTTTGTTCAAATAACAACAACAGCTCAAGTGTTCTGAGCACCCACTGTATGCCAGACTCTAGGTGTCGCATGGTACACATGTGATCTCACTGAATCTTAGCAGTGACCCTACGGGACTCATGCAGGTGAGGATTTGAACTTGAAGAGGTCAACTGGCTTGCTGGAAATCGGGCAGAACCAGGACTGGAATCCAGAGCCCAGGCTCTTAACCTCTCTATAATATCACTCTGACATGAGGGGGCCGTTTTGGTTGAAGGAGGCAAAAAGGGGTGGACTGGCCCAGCGGAGGGTCCAGAGAGGCACCAGGGCCTGCCTGAGTCACACAGCAAGTTAGCGCAGTTAGAACTCCAAACTCCGTCTCCTCACTCTCAACCCTGGTGTGTTCTGGAGGATAAGCTGTTTCCCGTCTCCTTGCCATCTCCCCAATCATGGTCTGGGGTTTGGGCCTGACTTCCATGGTGAGACCAAACAACTGTGGGGAAAAGAGCTTGCCTGGAGGCTTGGCAGAGCCACTGAACCCCTCTGGGCCTTGGCTCCAGCATCTGAAAAATGAGCAAATAGCACAGGCCTCACCGTAACCTGAGCGGCTGTCCGTGGAGCCAGCAGGGCTGCCGTCGAAGCTGAGCTTGCCCACCACGAGGCTGTCGTAGGTGGCCTGGTTGAGCTGGGGCAGGGAGATGGCATTCTTGATGATGGGGGAGATGGCGGGCGGAGCAGGAGAGGGCGCAGGCGGGGAAGCCATCCGCCGGGGGGGCGCCCCGACCCTCCGCACCAGTTGTAGCTTCTTGGCTAGGAAGCTTCGGGGTGAGCGGTGGGTGCTCCCAGAGCTGCCACCGTGGTTGCTGAGGAAAGAGGTGTCGCCAAAGACATCCCCGCCACGGCCCACATGCATGGTATGGCGGAAGTCCCCAAGTGGGGGGCTGATCATGTCTGCTGTCAGCCGCCTCTTTCCCTGCGAGCTGGACGCCCAACCCACGGGCGAGAGCTTGCCCAGGCTCATGGTGGGGGCTCCTCTGGCCCCCTGGGGGCCAGGCATCAGCTCTGGCTGCTTACAATTGCTGGTCCATGCCCACCTGGGCTGGGAAAGGGAAGTGGGCTGGGCTCAGGGCCCGCTTCTCAGCTCCTTCCCTCCTGGTGGAAGGTGGTGGACCAACCGTCCAATCCTTGGCTCTCCTAAGGTGCTGTGCCCAAATGCTGAGGCTGTGGGGCGTCCATGGCTCGTCTCTCCTTGAGGCCTGGCTCCCAGCCCTGTGGAAGCAGCTACAGATGTTCTGTCTAAAAGCAGAAAAGGCCCGAGATGTGCCTCAAAGGTGGTTGGTCTCTCTCCTGCGCAGGGTTGGCGACCTGGAAGAAGGAAGAGAGGAAAGTGAGGGCAGGACTGGTGCAGAGGAGATCCTGGGTCCAAACAACAACAGCTAAAGAGAGCAAGAGATTGCACCTCACAGCACGGATGGAGATCGCTGACCAAAGGAGGTGCGGAAGCCAGGCACAAAGGAGGACATGCTGGGGCCGGCCCGGTGGCGCACTGCTACAGTGCGCCGCTTGGGAAGCGTGGCGGCGCTCC